ATGACCTAAACAAACTCTTCTGAGCTAGCTGTAAGCTACAAAGTACTGGTATTGGCATTATTCAAGATAAAAGTTAAGCCACTGATTCCTTCATAAATTGATGAAAAGATATCATGTTGATAATATGAAATAAACTCCCTTCAAATAAACCACAAAGAATCTATTAGTTTGGAGGATTTGTTTTCCTGGATACTTCTGGGGTTTCACAAAACAGATTAACTTGTAATAATGTCTAAGTACAACTCTGATCCAAATACATGTGGTCACTTGTCATAAATAAAAATTAATGGGGCACCTGGGTGTTTCAGTCTGTTAAGCATCCGAGTCTTGATATCAACTCAGGTCTTGATCTCAGAGTTGTGAGTTCAAGCCCAGTGTTAGGCTCCATACTAGGTATGGAGCCTACTTAAAAAAATTATCGTAAATAAAAATTTCTAAATATAATTAATGAATTCAAGTTAGTCACACTGGTGTAGATACTTTTTCCCCAAAAGTAACCCAAAGTGTGTAAATTAAGTACGTAAATTCTCTTGATTTACAATAAAATTATATTTTAGTCAGTAAACATAAATAACAGATAAAATGCTACCTTTAAGAACTTCAGATCAGTTCAAGAAAACCTGGAAAAAGGCTGAAAATCTGATAATTATCATTTTTGTAATGTGTAAAGTACTAAGTCTTAGGTTCCCTAAGTCATAACCTAACCTATTTTTTCAGAAGAGATACAAGAATAAATTTAAGTTTTACTAAAACACTGGGTTTTGAGAAAGCATAGTCGTGATCAGCGAAAAACTTGACATTTTGGTAAGAGTATAAAGAAAATCTTGAGTCATCACTTAGATATTAATTAGGGCCTCATTCTTCACCAAACTTTTTCTTAAATATTGACAAGCCATTAAATTAACTGATTTAAATATTTCTGTCGAAGTAGCAAAAGTGCAAGGGACTGGAATAGGACATCAAGCAGGATAGAACACAAGCAGCCTGAATAATTCACACATCAGCTAACAGAATGGTAAATAACAGTTTCCTTTATGCCTCTACTTTTATAAAAATAGCGCTTACCTGGAAGAAGTAAGACTGTAGAGGCTGATCTTTATTTTCTTCATCCACATATAGTCCTCCTACCACATATACCTGATTTTGTTGGGTAACAATGCTAGAATGATTTCTGGGAATCTGCTCAGCCAGTGCAGTAAGGTAGCACTCATTTTCTGTGGGATCATAAGCCACTGCAGCTGTGTCATTAACCAAAAGGATGAGGTCTTTGACAAACATCCCATGCCTGGGAATGTCATTCAGGTAACCAGGAAGTAAGTCTTCATCACCAACATCACCATTCACCTCACCAGCCCCAGCCTTCTCTGCATTTTTGCTAGGTTCTGGGAGTTTGCCTGTGAAGGCATCTTTGAGAACTTTGATTTTTTTCTGGAGTTCCGGGTTGCTTTTAATTATATCATCTTTCTCAACATGATCTTTAAAATATTTTTCTGTCATAAGGCGAAAACGAATACAATCAAACACTTCGCTAAGGTTCTTAACCCTGTTTTCTTTGTCCGTTCGCACCCATTTCATCACTGCCTCAAATACTGCTTCTTCCTTTTCTACATTTAGGCTGTCATTTGAAATTACTGAGATCAGTTCCTGTGGAGATAGCTGCATAAAGTCCTCTTCCTTGCAAATCTGTACAAAGCGATCAGACACAAATTCACGGGCAGAGATGGCGAGTCTTGGGCAGTCGAGAAGAAGTCCTAACCTTAAGATGGCTAGACAGTTACCAGGAGCAAGTCTCTTCTGAAGATAAGAAACACAGACAGTGAACACGGAAGGGATCTGAAAGCGGCTGGCCAGGGCAAAAATATCCTGCACGTTTCCATCGTTGAGGTCGATACTGGCAGAGTATAGGTACTTGATGATCAAATCCAGCACAGCAGGATCTACATTATCTAACACTACTTCCTTTTTTTTCCCCTCATCAATTTCAGATAAAAAATACTCACGGAAGTAAGGACTACAAGCTGACAAAATCAATCTGTGGCAAGGAAGACTTTTGTCACCTGCTTTTAGGGTGCAATCGATGAATTTTTTTTCTTCCAGGAGATCTTTCAGACCGTCCTGAAGAAGGGTGGATTGGTAAAGCCGCAGTTCCTCTGTGAGTTCCCGCTGAGAATCCATTTTGTGAGTAACCTGGGTAAGGAAGGGGACACTGAAGGCCTTAGCTCCTTGCAGCACACAGGTCTAGCTGTAAAAAGGCAGATCGGTGTGCTTTGCCCAGCTTGAAGCCTTTGCAATTTAATCCCACCAGCTAAATATAGATACCAACTCTAACAACGGGAATTCAGGAGAGCTAGTTTGGAAAGAAGAGTTGTTCCTGCAGCTGTTACAGATTGAAGGGAACAACTGGAACTTTTAATCACTAAGGAAACAGCTAAGAAACAAGCCATTTAAATGAAGTGGGAAGCTTTTACATAAAGCATTAGAACATAGGCCCATAAAGACATGTTTAAAGAAAGTGTTTATTGAACTGACAGAAAACTGAATCATAAAAATGAGTCAGTCCGCTAAAAATGGTCTAGTGGCAAACTCCTTGGCTGTCTGAATGAATGATGCAAAGGTCAAGAATATGAGGTGAGTTCATTTGAATACTCATAAGCAAAATTCCTTTTCCAATTACTGTTACATAAAAATTTTTATTTTCTAGTCAAAACAGTGGTATTTACAATTTTCTTTTCGAAGTAGGAAACTTAAAGACTTCTATTTATGTACTAGTAATATAATTTAAAAAACCCTTTAATAACAATATCTCATTATAATTGAAGTAATAAACGCAGAGAAACTGCTACTTTTCTAACATTCTAAATTACCCTTTTAAGTGGAAAAACTGTAATTAGTATTGAATTATATTACAAAATTATTTGTTATTCAGACCCTGCTTTTCTCTACAAAGGATCTGATGTGGCAAACAATTATAACACAAGTAGGATAAATGCATAAGGTTAAAATGAAACAAGTTCAGAAAGAAATAGGAATAGTTAAGAGTCAACACTAGGTAAAGAAAAAAATCACATATGATTACTAAAAATACTCTGTGATTTAAGTGTTGAAAATAAAAAAATTTAAATAAAAAGTTAAAAATACAGAACAGATGTAACTCCACGAAAACAATGCTATCAACAGGGGCGCCTGGGTGGCTCAGTCATTAAGTGCCTGCCTTGGGCTCAGGTCATGATCCCAGGGTGCTGGGATTGAGCCCTGCATCAGGCTCCCTGCTTGTCAGGAAGCCTGCTTCTCCCTTTCCCACTCCCCCTGCCTGTGTTCCCTCTCTTGCCGTATGTCTCTCTGTCAGATAAATAAATAAAGTCTTAAGCAAACAAACAAAACAATGTTGTCAACAGAACACAGCAAAATCAGGAAGAAGTGCTGTATCACCTGCATAATTTGGAAAACAAGCCTATTCAAGGGAAAAAAAAAAAGAGTAACTGAAATCATAATCTAAGTTGTTGATTGTAATAGTATACCCTATTAATTACGGAATGCAGAAGTTATGATTTGAAAAAAAGTCAATCTTTTTTGTTTATATGCAGATGACATCATATATACCTCTTCATGAATTATTACAAAATCTTTACTGTCACATTTTCTGAACTCAATGGGACTGCAGAAAATACTGTATAATTTCAAAGTCTGGTATTCTTAAACCTGCTCAAAAGAATATAAGCTCCCTGAAGACAGGAAATTTTTTTTTTTTTTAATTTGCTTTGTTCAATGCTATAGCCCCAGGGCCTCATGTGCTCTGTAAATACTTGTCAAATGAATAAATGTCCCTAGATCAGTGAATTGTGTATTTTTAAACTTCAAGGTCTCTATGAGTAAAGGTTTTTTTCTTTTATTTTACATCACAGTGAAGTCAAAGGTACTGTCAGCTGCGAAAACAACAGCTGAAAGAAGAGCTCATTGACTCTTTTTTCCATTTATAGATGTCACTAAAGGTTTTAACACACTAGAAGAAACAAACAGCTGCTCCCTTGATTAAACAATAAATGACTCATTTTTCTACTCTGTTAACAACTAACATTTGAAAAGATTAGTGAGTCAGATGTGAACACCATGATATGACATTTGAGATTCCTTACTAGTCAGCAATTATAAAGTCTGTTTTGCTTCGAAAACTATTTAAACATATCCCTGGCAGCATTTTGTGACCTGTGTAAAAATTTCAAACAGCCCCTTTTTCCCCTTGATGTAGGTTGTTTATTATAACTATCTCTTAAAAATGTACAACTCCTTTCCTTTTTAAATAAAGAAACCAATGTATAGCTTTTATTCCTTGACTTTAATTAAATTCAGATAGCACTTAGTTAGCATTTGGTTACTATGTGTTTATGGTTGTACATATAGTTGCATCTTATTTTGTAAGTTTTTACACTCTCACTCCTTTCCCTCTAGAGAAAAAGGGCTCCTTTGGTTAATTTCAATGATTTGACAAAGGCTCCTCACAATTTTTTTTTTTTTATATCAAAGCAGTAGCAAAAAGCAGGATGCCAGAGAAGTTGCCAAATTGTAGCTAACCAAAAAATCGGAGAATATCCTATTTGAAAATTTCAAAGAGGTTTTTCAATGAGTACATACAAGGAGAAAGTCAATTTATTTACAAACAACTTATTTATTTACAAACAATTTATTTACAAACTATTTAAAACTATTTTCTTAAAAAATAAATGTATTCTTGCCAATACCATATTAAAATTATTTATAAGATAGTGCCCAAAACATTACATAGGGGTTGATATCCTCTATAGTTAACTATAATTTTTAGGTTTTACAGAAATGGTCACTTACACATGACAAGTTTAAGGGTTATGATTTATATTAGAATTGGCTTACATTTGGAGCTATTTGATAATTTATTTAAACCAGACTTTTATAATCAAAAAGGCAGTACTTTGATTACTTCATAAGAATAGTCTTATTCTTTTAAATAATACTTTCAAAACATTAAATGGTGCTGCATAAATTCTTTATTAAACCCAACATGATACAGTCATTTAATATCTGCAGACTAATAATTTACAAGCATTAGGTACAAAATAAACATATTTACAAACCAGATACATTTTGATTACAATTTTAAATACAATTTTTAGAAAAGTGGCAATAAAATCTTAGATAAATGAGTTTTTCCTTAATCATTAAAAAACTCTTTTTTAAAGGCTTTTTCTGTAAAAGTAAAAACTATTCCATGCCTTATAGCAGGCAACTAAGTATCTTTAATCTTGAGATATCTTTAAATAGAAATCCAGCTCAACTCAAGATCAACTCATTACTTCCCAAAGTCCCTGTAGGGTGAATCCATCCTTCAATTTCTCTATTGCAAGCCCCAGTTCTTCTGAAAATACAGGTTCACGATCTTGTTGCTTTTTGGGAGATAAGAGGATAAGATGGGAATAGAGAAGGTGGGCAAGGAAGAGGAAAAAAACAAGAAATATGTTTCATATAAGTTTTGTGAATACTAAATGTTAGAATATAGAAAGTTTTTTTTCAAATACTATAGATAAAATGTCCTTACCTTATTGCCATCAGCAAAATAAGCCTAGAAGACAAAGAAAATTCTATTTCACATACTTGACATGTAACAGGTCAGTGAACTAAGGAACAGGTAATTAATTTACAGAACAATTGTGTAACTAAATGTATTTTACATTCTGTTACTGTATGTCTAATGGTCTTCTCACCTATCTTTACTATGGTAGTAGCAGATTTCACTTCTGTTAATCATTAGTATAAACTACAAGAGTTATGTTTTGAGCTCCAAAAAATGTATTTTGTAATTTAGTATACAATTAGCATGGTTAACTTGAAAGGAGATAAAAAGAATGACTTAGAAGCTATAAAATTTCATCCCTACTTTTGGTTTAGGAGAAGGTGCTGGCAAAACAAAACAAAGCAATCAGTGCTTCAATGTGTCAGCAAATGCTGTAGTATAATTAAGTATTTTATACTAATTTCACACTTGTTTAAAAATATTTATTCCCAGAGAGGTAGCTGGTCAGATTCATACATTACACTATATATAAAGCAGTAGTATTATTTTGGCTATGAAATCATACAAATTTGGAAATAGGAAAGCTCATAGTTCAAATATAGTTTTTAATATAATATACCAATAAGGTGAAAGGAAGTCAATCTTGTAAAGATTAATAATGAAAAATATATTTTACATTAATTAAATTAATTATTTAACCTGTTCTATTGTTCTAAGGTATGATAAATTTTTCACAGATCTGAAATCCTCTAAAAAATAGTGTTCTCAAACTATTTCCCAGTTTGGTAATTTAAAAGTAATTTCAAGCAAAGAAAAAATCCTTAACTTAAAAAAAATTACTTTCTAACTCATGTTTAAGATAACTCTCAAGTTCTACGGTGTTTTATACACTTAAGCCATTACTTAAACATGACTGAGATTTTAAAAAAATCATAAGAAATTTAGTAGCTCTTCTTTGTCATGCTCACCACAAAAGCATCCGTGTGATCATCAGAGTCTATTTCTACATCATCTTGAATCTGTTCAACTGTCAGAGCTTCAAGGGGCTGTGGCTAAAAATCAGTAGATATTAAAATGCACCAAGGAAAAAAATACATCGAGGAGACAATATTAATTAAACAAATAATTTTAATAAAATGTGCTGTGAGAATTGTAAATACTTGTAAATGGGTAAAACAACTGAAAACTATTCAAGTCTTAGAAAAATCATTGTATAATTTATATTCTACTAAAACTAACTTGAGTAATAAATCAGTTAAACCTAAGCTTTTAAATCTGAAGTATCATCAAAAGTATTAATATGACAAATTTATACAAACTTAATACGATACTTAGAGATATCCTTAAAGAAAAACTCTCAATGGACTTAATCTGATTTTCTTTCACACAGTTTAAAATAACTAAGTTTGGATATAGCAAATTTTCAATTTTCTTCAAAACAGTCATTAAATAGAACTCGTGAAAAGTAAAAGAACTAAGAGTTGCACGGAATATTGCAATGGTAAAGCAGAATAAAATGTGGTACAAATATTAATTCATTTTTCAAATGTTTTAGTATTTTTGGTGTGTTAGGCACTATGCTAACATTACCAAGTAAAAACTCCCTGTCCCTACCCACAAAAGGTTTGTAATCTAGTGGGGGTGGAGAAAGAACAAAACACAATTACAGATAACTAAATATTAGGTTGGAACATATGAAATTACCATTTTTGTTAGTAAAAAATGATCAAATACTAGTATCATACGGTTCAACCTATGAATAGCAGTTGTAACGAATGTACTATCCATTATAAGAGAAAGGTTTAGAGACAGCACAACTTCTGGATTGTAAATCCCAGAAACTTTCATGAAGAAAAGAATAGCATGTAATCAATCTAGGCCTTTTAGAATGAGGATGACTTCCATAGGTAGGATTAGGGGAAAAGGTATTTCTGCCAGAGGGGACCAGCATCAGCAAAGGAGAGAAACCACAGAATATGGCTGAAGAATGATGAATAATCCAGTATGGTCAGAACAGAAGAGTCCCATGAGATAGAAGAAGCTATGCAGGGCTACTGTACTGAACAATCCCAAGGAGCATCATTCACACTAAAGTCTATGTTTACTATGTTCTCATAGCTGAGCAGTGCACAGCCTGCACAACCAGACACTGTGGCTGTGCAGATAAGGTAGAAAATGTAGGCTGGTGTCCACTGAAATTCTTTAATACCAGCCCAAAGAATTCAGACTTTATCTATAGGTAATTGGTGGGAGGGCATATAGGGTAAAGTATAGTGCTCAACAAAAGTGACCTGACCCGCTAATCTGAGGATAGCCTCAAGTGTTTCAACTGCATTCAGAGTTGTGTGACAAGTTTTGTGTACAAGTAACTTAACCTAGCTAAGCCTCCGTCTCCATAACTGTGAGATAAGGATAATAATAATGTTATACTTCATAGTACTGTTGGGAGGACTAAATGAGATAGATGATGCATACGAAGCTCTTAGAGCAGTGAGTGGGAACAACAGGTGTTCAATGCAGTCATTCAACATCTATGAATATTCACTAAAGTGCCTATTATGTGCTAGTTCTAATTGCTGGAAATATAGGGTTAAAGATAGTAGATGAAAACCCCTGACTTCATGGAGATTATTTATAGTGGAGAAGACTTATGAGTGTTATCAAAAACAAAGCAAGCAAGCAAACAGGGATAAGGAACAGTAAAATGATGAAGGCTGCTATTTTAGATGGTGCTCAGGGAAGACCTCCCTGAAGAGGTGGCTTGGCGTAGGGACTTACAGGAGATGACAGAGTGGGTTATTATGGCCGCTATTATTACATACTAGGGGCCAAAAAAGAAAAGAAATGAAAGGTAGAGAGAGAATGGGTAGGAGAACTAACATACTGAGTATCTCATGTGCCAGGAATTTCATGGATATGATTCATAAGTTTGTGAGACAGATGATCTTCATTTAAAAATTTTTTAAAAGATTTTATTTCTTTATTTGAGTGAGAGAGAGAGGGAGTGAGAGAGCATGAGCAGGGGGAAGGGCAGAGGGAGAGGGAGAAATAGACTCCTTGCTGAGCAGGGAGCCCAACACATGTCTCGATCCCAGGACCCTGGGATCATGACCTGAGCTGAAAGCAGACACTTAACCGACTGAACCACCTGGACACCCAGATTATCTTCATTTTATAATGAGAAAATTGAAGCTCAAATCTACCTAGAATCACAAATAAATGGTGAAATTGGGACTAAAGTCAGGTTTGCCAGGTTCCAAGAACCTGGTATGTTCTATAATATTATTAAGCAAGCAAGAGTAATAATGTTAATTGTGGTTTGAGTGAAAAGAAAGGGATAGGAAAAGGGAGGAGACATTCATGATTAAATGTATAAAATAAGACAATCAGGAAAATAAAAAATGAAATCTCTGAGGTTCTGAGCACAGCTGACTTTGCCAATGCTAAAAATAAATAAGTAGAAAATAAATAAATATATCAGTAGGATGGCGCTTTTGAGAAAAATGATAGCATTTTAAGTATGCCATGTTTGAGATACTCAAATCCCAGTGTATCTTACAGATTTGGAAAATTATTTACTTAATTAAATTACTAGGACAAACTTTTAAATGAGAAATTCAATTTATGTTGTTTGGAATGCTCATTTATGTGGAAAATATTCAAGAATATTTAGAACCATGGTCATCTGAGAGAATGTGTCAAGATCAAAATAAAGTGGGAGTTATCTACAGAAGTTTAAGTTGAGGGGCTTCTGGGTGGCTCAGTCATTAAGCGTCATGGCTTGGGTCATGATCCCGGAGTCCTGGGATCGAGCCCCGCACTGGGCTCCCTGCTCCAAGTGAAGCATGCTTCTCCCTCTCCCTCTCCCCCTGTTCGTGTTCCCTCTCTCACTATGTCTCTCTCTGTCAAATAAATAAAATCTTAAAAAAAAAAGTATAGGTTGAGGAAACTGGAAGAGGGCTGATATTCCTGAAGAATATACAGAGAAGGCAGAATGAAAGGGAGAGTGTTGAAAGAAATGCAAGTTGGGAGGAAAACAGAAAAGGATGATTAAAGATGTGAAAAACATGAGTGTATGTCTAATACCGTGTCAGCAACCCAAAGAGATATTTCAGTTTGAAGGGAAGGGGGATATACAGAGAATATTGCAGGAAGAGAAGAAAACTAGCAAGGAGTGCTACCACGCAACAAGGGTCTGTTTGAAGTCAGAGGGTGTGAATTTGAATTTAGCTGTCCAGCCCTACTTCTTGATCTTCTCGGGTCACATGCTGCAGTCCAAGAGCAGAAGAGATATAGATAATATATGTGCTATGTGATAGGGCTCAACATGCTGAGCGCCAGCAGGGATGCTGTTGAAAGAGTGGGTGGCAAGGGCACCATCATAGCGTACAGTGAGGGTGCCGGTAAAAGAACAGACAGCAAGGGAACCTGAGATAAGAGTGGTCAGTGAGGCCACCCGAGACAGAACCTCTAGCCAGAGTACCGCTGATAGAGCAGATAGAGTGGAGTGGCTGGTGAGGACACCAGTGACACACCAGATGACAAGTGTTCCAGCTGGAGAGGCTGAAAAGTAAAGTCAAAGGAGAGCTGAGGGACTTGGACAACAGGGTGGGTTTGGTGTCTGTGAGGCCTGTAAGGTTTGCCCAAATGCTAATGGGAGGCAGAAGTGGAATAAAAATAAAACAGTGAGAGACTGAAGTCTGTCTACATCACAGGAGCCTTGCACATGGACACTTCTCTGGATCAGCTGCTTACCTAAAAGAGCAGGAATGAATGACGAAGCAGCCAGTGAGAAGATAGGTAGATGGCACAAATTAGTGATGGCCAAGGGGTCATGCTCTCTGAGCAGAGTCTGTATATCCATCATTTTAAACATAGTTCAAACTTAAATTGTTCACAATGTGTTTATATCCATATTTTATAGACTGTGTGAAAGCAATTCAGCAAACTGTATTTTACATAGTGAACAAATTACCTTTTCTTCCATCTCATAATCCACTCCAAATATAGGACTGGCAGAATAGACTTTGTGAAGTGAATTGATTTCCTTAACTGATTCTTGTAGTTTTTCCACAGGATCTATTTTAAAGCCAAGAACATATCCTCCACTCTGTAAGAAAAAATAATGAAAAAACAAAAAACCAGCTTGAGGAATGGGTATTTATACTATATGATAAACTATACCCCATTGTCTAATGTTATTTCAGAGCTCCATACATAAATTGATTTTTTTAATTAAAATTTTTATAATGAAAAACTTAAAGCATATACAAAAATAGAAAAAAAAAAAGGTACAGTGAGTGTCCATGTAGCCATCAACCAGCTTCAGTAAGTAGCAACATATGGCCAACTCTCTTCCATCTTTAACCTCCCCTTTCCCCAAATCTCCTCCCCTTACCCACTTAGGATTATTTTGAAGCATATCCAGATATCACATCATTTCTATATACAAATATCAAAGATGAGATTTTAAGATTTAAGAAAATACACTATAGATTGTGAAGGCCAATGGAACTAAGTTTTTCTCGAGCTAGACCTTGAAAAGGAAAAGACCACGTATCAGAAGAAAGGGAATGGTCCAACTGAGGCTAATTCCTTGAAGAATTAGGAAAGAAACCTTAACACGACAGGTTGTTGTTGAAAACTGTTAAAAAAATTAAGTAGCAAAAAAAAAAAAATTTAAGTAGTATACTGTAAACGGTGAAAGCATATGCTTTAGGTTGAGAGCATATACTTTTGAGTTTAAATTTAGGTTTTACAACAAATTTGCCAGCTATATGATGCTGGGAAACATACTTTTCTTAGTCTTCTAAGCCTCAATTTTCTTTTTATAAAATAAATTTATTTATTTATTTATTTATTTATTTATTTATTTATGTTCCGTTAGCTGACATATAGTACATCATTAGTTCTTTTTTTAATGGTCTTCTGTGTGTTTCCTTCCTTCCTTTTTTTTTTTTTTTTTAAATTAACATGTAATGTATTATTTGCTTCAAGGGTACAGGTCTGTGAATCATCAGTCTTACACAATTCACAGCATTCACTATAGCACATACCCTCTCCAATGTTCATAACCCAGCCTCCCCACCCCTCAACAACCCTCAGCTTGTTTCCTGAGATTAAGAGTCTCTTATGGTTTGTCTCCCTCCCAATTCCATCTTGTTTCATTTTTTCCCTCCCTATCCCCAACAACTCCCCGCCCTGTCTCTGAAATTCTCCATATCAGAGAGATCATATACATCATTAGTTTTTGATGTAGTGTTCAATGATCCATTAGTTGTGTATAGCACCCAGTGCTCATCACACCACGTGCCCTCCTTCATACCCATCACCTGGCCACCCCATCCAAGCCTCAATTTTCTAACCATAAAACAGTTATCAAGTTGTTATATTAAATAAAATAATGTACACATGATATTTGTACAGTTCCTGGAACATAGTAAGCACTCAGTAAATGGAAGCTATATATCTGTAGGCCAGGGGAAAGGAGTGAGTAGACATTCACATTTACAGTTAGAATTTAGAAGAGCACTGATTTTACAAATAAGTATATGTTTTACTTAATTGTATTTCTGCAAATATCTGGCCTAATGGGGCACAGGAATTATAATTAGATATAGTATCTGCATGTGAGAGTATAAAATCTCAAACAGGGTGCATGTGTGTGTATATCTGTATTTATCCGTGTTTCTCATTGATATTCTTGTGAGTCAGTCAGACCTGAATCAAAACCTATCCCCACCAGTTACCAGTTGAGAGACTGTGGGCAAGGTTCCTAACTTCTCCAAGCCTCAGTTTCCTTGAATGTAAAATGGGGAAAAATAGTAACTGTATCATAGGGTTGTGTAAAGATTGAAGGAATGCATAAAAAGTACAGTGACTTAACTCTGTCACCAAAAATAATCATAATGACAATAATGGTTATGTCTGTCCAACAAGGAAACATGAAACAATTTTTCCTATGAGTACAATTACTATACAACTTTAAACTCTATTTAACATGTTATAGCTAATGTTCTTCTTGAATGTACACTGGTTACTATATAAATAAAACAAAATATATAGACTGTCACATAGTTTAAAAAATCTATTAAAGATTAATATGGATATATAATATCTTACCTGCTGAGAACTTTCTATGACAAGAGCTAAACCAAATTTTGAATCTCTAATCTTTATGGAACGCTAGATGTAAAATGGAAAAGAAGAAAATGCATATTTTTATTACCTGATAGTAGTGATTCTTTAGCACAAATATTTCAACTTCTACACAGTAACTGCTTTTCATAATCTAAAGAACAGAATTCTCCCTCTTTCCTTCATTATATTCCCACAGAGATCAAGTAAATGAAAATGTTCTTACTAGAACTAGCCAGCAGACTTGTAAGGAAATACGAAGGAGACATATCTGAAATATGCACAAAATTATCTGACTCAAATATCCCCACAATCAGAGAGTATACAAATTTTCTGAGTATTTTAAACCAAAGGCCAGCAATCTTTTAGTAGAGAGCCAGCCACTAGAGAGCCAGTGTTTTGAGTGGTTCCCAAGGCTGGGTTAGTTTTTAAAAGTCACATGAATATGACTGTCCTAGTGACAGACTGCGATGATATCAGATTGCAAGTTGTTTGGACAAAGCTGAATTCATTCCAGAGGCCATACTTGGGAACTGTATTCTTCAATAACAAATAGCATCTATCTGAAGAATAAAAAGCACAAGGTTGTTTACTACTCAGTAATTTTGTAGTATAATAGAGATTAGGTCAGACGAGCTGTAACATATGTAAACCATATAAAACAGCAATGGACAATACAAACCCCAGTTTATCAAATACCTACGTAGATTCTATTATATCTTCCCAGCCACAATTATAAATTCTTGTATTTCTTTGGATGGCCAGAAATTATTTTTTTCCTACCAGATTCTATGATTTTCTGTTTAATCTCTATCAGACTGAAACCTTGATGGCAGGAACTGTGTACTGGTTCATAATTCTCACAACTGTATTGCTGGCACCTAGCACAGCATAGGTGCTAAATACTTGGCAAATGAATGACCTGATATTTTAAAGTAACTCAAAAATCAAACAATTCAGCAAACAATAGGCTTGGGAATAGTTAGCAAAGAATCATCCTTCTTGTAAACAAGGAAATCTTTTTAAAAATGACATCTTCCAGATATCGCATACATTGTGTCTATTCAATAAATATTTTTTAATGAAACTGCTCAGTATTAAGACTACTCATATCCCGCAGTAAGTGTAATTATCATAGGAAAATCACACAGGATTTTCATTAACTATTTTTATATTCCATCTAATTTGCACTAGAGTCCTATAAGTAATTTCCTTATGTAAAACGAAATACTTCGGTTTATTGGAGTTTACTATTTGTTTCACTGAATCACACAGTAGCAGCTGCAGAAGAGATAAAAAGAACCACCTTTATTCTCAAAACAAATTGGTCTCAGATAGTTCCTATTCTGGATTTTAACAGCTTTAGTTGAACTTAAGCTAAAATCATTATTACTGGGCACCTGGGTGGCTCAGTGGGTTAGGCCTCTGCCTTCGGGGTCATGATCTCAGGGTCCTGGGATTGAGCCCCGCATTATTGCGCTCTCTGCTTGGCAGGGAGCCTACTTCCTCCTCTCTCTCTCTCTCTCTCTCTATTTGTGATCTCTCTCCGTCAAATAAATAAAATCTTTAAAAAAATCATTATTACTAAAAACCATCTTAATTCCTTTCACCAAAACTGTAGTATGAATCCAGCTTGTATTACATGCTGTATCTGAATACAGTGAAAACAATTCATTCACAGAATTAAAGAATTCCTTGTGGCTTTAAAAGCAAAGTGTCGAGAGAGCCAAAACAATGTGTGTGGATCAGTGTGCTGAAGCCAAGCAAAGAACCACTGTATACATGCCTCATGAAAAGGTTATGGAAAACTGTAGTAGCTAATGTCCTCTGACTGGAATCTAAGAAGGACACATCTTAGAAAGAAAGAAAGAAAGAAAGAAAGAAAGAAAGAAAGAAAGGAAGAAAGAAAGAAAGAAAGAAGAAAGAAAGAAAGGAAGGAAGGAAAAGGAAGAAGAGAAATACATTTTAATCTGCATAGCGACTATTTTTTTTTAAAGATTTTATTTATTTATATGGTGGGGAGGAGGTAGAAATGGAGATAGATAATGATATGGATAAATGGTAGAGGTGGCTAATTTTGGTGTTTTCTCTCTCACTTTGGACAGTGAGAGAGAAAACAAGCAAGAGGCAGCAGAGGGAGAGGGAGAAACAGGATCTGCATTAAGCAGAGAGCCCAATGTGAGGCTTGATCCCAAGACCCTGGGACTATGACTTGTGCTGAAGGCAGACGGTTAACTGACTTAGCCACCCAAGTGCCCCTGCATGGTGACTATTTAAAATTTTTAAGTCCAGTATATTTTTCTCTTAATAGCAAGTTTATAATGGTGGGCATCCCTTGAATGTAGGTACTGTTGAGTCTTTTCTATGTTGAAACTGTAAATTATCAACATTTATTTAAAAGTCTGCTGTCAGCTATACTGCTGCCACTGAAAAAGAGGGAGACAATTCATCTAGTCTTGAAAGTTCCATTAACTAATGAACAGAAATTATTTATTCTACATTAAAATAAGATCACCAAAATGCATGCACTTACAATTTGTAGATATGGTATGCTGACGTTAAAACTGTCATTCATATTTGCATGCCACACGATTCTCACGTTGGTAATAAAAAAGGTTCCTAAATTTCCCTGTAAAAGATAAGAGATACACGAGTGACCATTTGTTTGAATACTTACTCTTTATTTTCTAAACACTGGGATAATTCTAATTATCACAGTAGCAGAGAATACCAGAATTGAGTATCATGGAGTATCAATGACTTCATTATTCACTGGATCGAAGAACAATTAGCTGACTGAGGGCCTGGATTCTGAAGTTAGACTATAATCATTATGCCATCAGTACTTACCAGTTGCCTGACCATGGGCAAAAATTTGTTCTTGGTGCATTGTGTCAAATGTAAAGTGGAAATTTGATTAAATAACCCCTATAAATAAAGCCCTTATCACAATGCCTGACACATAATAAGCATTCTGCAAGTGTTAGATCTTATTACAGCTATTGTTCAAAATGTGGGATTAAGTTAAGACAAGGAAGTTGTGGTAAGAGAAAGACAAAACATATGTGATAACTTCCATTAGTCCACGAGAGATGTTTTACGGCTCTGCAACACTAACTGTGAATCAAAACTGTTTTCCAATTATATGGCCCCTCAACATTTACTCATAATTACTCCAGTATGGTAACTAAATGGTCTAAAAAAACTTTAATATCTAGTACATGGCACCAAAATTAGCCACCTCTACCATTTATCCATATCATTATCTATCTCCATTTCTACCTCCTCCCCACCATATACTCCCAGAGGAATTTATTTTATATGTTGAGGTTGGGCATAAAATATTTAACTTACAAACCCAAAACCTGGGATGACCAGGCTTGAAACATCAGAAAAGACCAAATATTTCTTAATTATAATTAAGTTAATAAACATATATGTAAGTATATAGATTTCCCTCCTCTGTTCTCATCTTGCAAAAAATTGTTATACAAAGAATTTTAGCCCCCTTATTCCTGGCCAACATCCCATTAAACAGTACTAAGTCTAACTTTATAAAGAATAATTATTTATGTCATTCTTTCCTCTTATTTTAGAAGAGAGCAACCTGCAAAACTCCTAAGGATTTTTTAAATAAAAGAATAGGAAGGCATATTTTATATTTAATAAACAGAAGTTAGGTTAACAATAACATTCCTATTTTCAGTAAAATATTTCTGATAATCCTGAGCATCTTAATTAATCAATTTAAAATGCCAGGTGCGGTGCTAGATGGTAAAGATTTAACTATGAACAGAGTGATTCCACTCCTATCCTTATAAAGCCTACAATCTAATGCTGGGGAACAGACAAGCTCTATATTTTAGATCAGGAACAATTTAAAGTAGTAATTAAGTACAGACTGCATAAGCAACACACAGAAGGAAGCCTTATAGAAAGCAACTTCTAAGCTATGACCTAAAGTAGGGATGTGTAAACTATGGTTTGTGGGGCAAATCTGGCCTCTCGCCTCATTTTGTATGGCCCACGAGCCAAGAAGCCAAGTTTCTTGGCCCCACAAACCAAATTTTAGATTTTTAAATAGCTAGAAAAATGTCAAAAGAATAATAATTCATGATACATGAATACTGTATGAAACTCAAATTTCAGGATCCATAACAAAGCTTTTTTGAAACATAGCCATGCTCATTTGTTGTCTATGGCTGGCTTCACACTACAATGGCAAGTCTGAGAAGTTATGACAGAAATGGTATGACCTGCAAAGCCTAAAATATTCACCATCTGGCCCGTCAGAGTAAAAAGCGTGCTGATTCCTGATAGGACTTATTCAGATGTAGAGCTGGCTATTTACTACAGAACCATCATCAGAGTTTAAAACTAGAACTTTTCAAATGAGCAAAATTTATTTACAACTTAAGTTTATGATACAATGTTTAGCAAGAAGTTCTTCAAATGCTATAACTTTACCCCAGTGGTTATCGGTCTAACCGAAGAAACTATTCTTACGTAAGAGAAAATTTTTCTTTAGAAATTGATGTGTTACTTACTCCAACTTAGATGTTTTAAATGGTCATAACTTCAAGAGCAAATGAGAAGTCATGATAACAGATATAGGAATCACCAAATGAGTTATACATTTAATTCCATAAGGATCAGATTTTCTTTTTTTTTGAAGATTTTATTTTTTTATTATTTTTAAAAATTTTATTTATTTGACAGAGGGAGAGAGATCACAAGTAGGCAGAGAGGCAGGCAGAGAAAGAGGGGAAGCATGTTCCCTACTGAGCAGAGAGCCCGATGAGGGGCTCGATCCCAGGACCCCGAGATCATGACCTGAGCTGAAGGCAGAGGCTTAACCCACTGAGCCACCGAGGCGCCCCTAAAGATTTTATTTTTAAGTAATCTCTACACCCAAACATGGGGTTTGAACTAACAACCCTGAGATCAAGAGTCGCATGCTCTTCCAACCAGCCAGCCAGGCACCCCCAAAAGACCAGATTAAAAGTCTTCCATGACTGTCTACTTCATGACTATCCAACATCAGTGTAAGTTATCAAGATGATGAGAGTAGTGCAACATGCGAAGAACATAGTTCTCAGATGAACTAGATGTGTGAAGTCACTAATTCTTTGGGGCCTGAGTTTTTAATCGATAAGTGAATGGAGACTGAACTAGATAATCTCTAAGGACCACTCTAGCTATAAGTTCTATGTACAACAAATGTCGCTAAAAAGAACACAAAACCATAAAAATATGAAAATCAGAAAATTATTTTATATGAAGAGCTACAACACTAATTTATCAGGAGATATAATGCTAATTTTAATAGAATTAAGTGAATATTCAAACTCAATGACAAATAGGAAAATGATTACCAAAGCACTGACCCAAAAGGTTCATTAGCTTTTCGCACAATACCTGATCACTGGATAAATTCCATACTCCATTGACTTTATCATATACATGTTCTTGTGGTAATAATCGTAGTTGCTTATTTTGAATTAGTGCACTTCTCAATTTAAAATCACGATACATTTTAGAAGTTTCATACGCTCTATAAAAAAGAACAAAGACCAACCCAAACTGAAAATGTGATTTTCCTAGGTTATGTTTACTTATCTACTAAAATATACAATTGTTAATACTTATGTATATCATTCAAATAATTATAACAAATTTAAAAATTTACTTTTCAATAAATTTTGGTGTCACAGTCTTTTATAGACTATCATTTTAGTGTAGTATTTACATATTTTATCTCAGTACCTGTTTTTAGAGGTCTAATTTTTTTTTAAAGATTTTAGTTATTTATTTGACAGAGAGAGATACAGCGAGAGAAGGAGTAGGAAAGGGAGAAGCAGGCCTCCTGCCAAGCAGGGAGCCCTATGTGGGACTTGATCCCAGAATCCTGGGATCATGGCCTGAGCTGAAGGCGGACGCTTAACAACTGAGTCACCCAGGCGCACCTAGAGGTCTAATTTTTAAGACAACATGTATCATACAGCACATATGAGAGGAAACATTTTCTCTTTAAGCTGAAAAACAATGCTTTTGTATAATAGACTTGGAAATTATTTTTCCCTATCAAAATCCTTCTCTCCATTTCTGTTTTAGTCAAAGGCACCTTTTAGTCAAAGGCACAATTGGGAGTCCAGTTAATTTTCTCATTGCAACCGCAAACATGCTCAGAGCTACCTCTATAGGTATTCTAAGAAAATTGGAATAAATCTGTACCAATCACAAAAGGGACCCTAGAACAGTGTGTATGCATGTGCAAGTGTTTGTGTGAGTGTGTGTGTACATTTATATACATATATATATAAAATCCCTCTTTGTTTTCTCTCCATGCCTTCCTATTGATAAATAATACTGAAGAAAGTTCTGTATTTCAGAACTTTCTCCAGTATTTATTATTAGTTTTGATTAGTTTTTTTAAAGATTTACTCATTTGAGAGAGAGCACACACAAGCAGGAGAGGGGCAGAGGGAGAGGAAGAAGAGCCCCATCATGGGGCTCAGTCTCACAACCCTGAGCCAAAAATAAGAATAGGGATGCTTAACTGAGCCACCCAGGTGCCTCTGATTAGTTTTATTATAAATTTTTGGATTAGTTTTATTATAACATTTGATTGATTATAATTTTACCCCACAAAATTATAGGCTAATTTACTCATTTAATAAGACTAAAGAATTTTCTTAGCCTGAATAACTTTAAATGTCATTTACATAAATCATAATATTCATTGTTAAACTTGTCATTTCAACTTTAATTGAGCTAATACATAATTGTGAAAGAAGAAGATTTGAGCATTTGCCTAGAACTCTTAATTTCCTTTAGTGCTGTAATCGTTTAACCAGTGGACAAAATGGAAACGATTTGTGCTGTGAGTTACTTGTGGGGGAATACTTGTTTTTATTCTATTGAAGAAAAGCAGCTTATAAGCTCCTTTCATACTCCTCTTCATATTATATTTCTAAGTAAAGTAAAATAAAGAGCTAAGGTTTAGAAATATGTCCAACACAACTGAAAAACATTCATAGTAGCTAAAAAGTGGAAACAATCCAAATGTGTATCAACAACTAGTGAGAAAACAAAATATGCTTACACAATGTAATACTATTTATAGAAAGAATGAAGTACTGATACATGCTACAATATGGATTATTGGTGAAAACACTATGTAAGTGAAATAAGTCAGCTATAAAAGGTCAATATATTGTATGATTCCATTTATATTATAAGTCCCACATAGGCAGATCCATACAGAAAGTAAGTAAATCAGTAGTTGCCAGGAGCTATGAAGAGGACAGGATAGGGAAGGACTATGGGGACTACAGGGCTACAAGGGTTTCATTTTGGGGTGACAGAAATATTCCAGAATTGGTAGTGATGATAGTATACAATCTTATGAAAACTAAAACTATCAAACTGTAAACCTTATTTATTTTTTAAAAAGATTTTATTTATTTGAGAGAGAGCAGAGAGAGAGAGAGCACATGAGTGGGAGGGGTGTGGTGAGAGGGGCAGATGGAGAAGCAGGCTCTCCACTGAACAGGCAGCCAGATGCCAGACTTGATCCCAGGACTCTGGGATCATGAGCCAAAGGCAGACACTTAACCAACTGAGCCACCGAGGCACCCCTCAAACTGTAAACATTAAAATGGTATTTTATACTATATGAATTATATCTCAAAAAATTTAAATGATTATATAGATTAGAAATCATCAACAAAATGAAAAATCAAATAACTAGGAAACTAAGAAATAAATTTCAACATATATGACAGATGATGGCATAATTAAGAAATTTATAATAGAAAACTATAAATCCAAAAAAAGGAGAAAAATGTCTACATCACTAGTAATAAAGAAATGCAAATTTAAAAAATAGTGTATATACTTCTTTTTGTGAGCATAAATTTGTGTATATGTATAATAGCCTGTCATCTTAGCCAAGCTTTTAAAAAATCATTGTACTTAAGGCTGGTTAAAAATAGAGAGCTAAGGTGCTCACTTCAGTAGCACATACACTAAAACTGGAATGATAACGGAGATTAGCATAGACACCGCACAACGATGACATGCAAATTTGTGAAGTGTTCCATATTTTCTGTAGTTCCCCAACTAATTGCCACCCTTTGTAGATTCACTCGGAGGAAATGATATGAGCACAATGTGCAGCATTGAATAATTAAATTGTGATGTTTTATTAGAAAAATATTCCTGCAAAGCAATTTATGACGTGGATTGAGGCCGAGTTTCACCCAAAAAATTATGTGCAAATATGTTGTTTATATACATATCTTGGAAATGAGAAAATGTCAACTTGCATTTCCTTATAGAATTAAAAAAAAAAAAAAGAAAGAGCAGGGCACCTGGGTGGCTCAGTTACTTAAGTAGCTGCCTTTGGCTCAGGTCATGACCCCGGGTTCCTGGGATAGAGCCCTGTGTTGGGCTCCTTGCTCAGCAAGGAGTCTGCTTCTCTCTCTCTCCCTCTGTCCTCTGTGCTCTCACTCTCTCTCAAGTAAACAAATAAAATCTCTTAAAAAAAAAAAAAAAAGCTAAGGTAGTGTAAAGAATTTCGCAAACAAATGAACAAACCGCCACAAAAGAAAACAAAACTCTTGGGGCACCTGGGTGGCTCAGTGGGTTAAAGCCTCTGCCTTCAGCTCGGGTCATGATCCCAGGATTCTGGGATCGAGCCCCGCATCGGGCTCTCTGCTCGGCAGGGAGCCTGCTTCCTCCTCTCTCTCTGCCTGCCTCTCTGCCTACTTGTGATCTCTGTCTGTCAAATAAATAAATAAAAAATTAAAAAAAAAAAAAGAAAAAAAAGAAAACAAAACTCTTAAGGGAAAACACCCAGACATGCCTTCAACTGCTAGTAAAATAACCTTTTTTTCCCCTCTAAGATTTACTTATTTATTTTAGAGAGAGAAAGAGAGAGAGCAGGGAATGGGGGAGGGAGGGAAAGGGAGTGAGAAACTCACGCTGACTCTGCACTGAGCACAGAGCCCTAGGTGGAGCTCATTCTTATAATCCTGAGATCATGACCTGAGCCAAAACCAAGAGCTGGAGGCTTAACTAACTGAGCCACCCAGGTTCCCCTAAAATAATCTTTTTTAATTCATTAACTGAATTATATTGAATGAATGAATCTATATTCGTTATAGATTGAATGAACTCTCTGTTTCACTATAACTAGCTTGGTAGCTAATTTAATAGAATCTTCAAGTAGAAATTTTTATGAATCTTCAGTAGTCTTATGTGTTCTATAAATACTTTCAAAGTGCTTATTAAATGAGAATGCAATATGTTCTTCTATATATCTTCAGGATACTGCAATTTTCTGAGCTTGGAGGAAGATGGTACCATACTTATACACTTTACCCTACAAACTTCTAAATCATAGATTGGCCTTAACATTATTCAATATTCTATAAAGTATTATCATACCTGTGTACTGCAATCACAGAAGTAAAAAGTCTAGGACTTCCAGGAACCAAATTTGTAAATATAAACTCAAAACGAGTACTGTTACATTTTGTTAGTATATAAAGAGCTTCAGTTTGGCCTCGTAATTTCTGTAAGGACAAATTTATTTAAAAGTTCAGATTTCAAGAGCAATTTCTCATTTACAGTGAAAATAAGTCCAATCTCAAATATCTAATGCTTCTCCACTATATATATTTCAATAAGATTTTTCAGACTTACAGAGTTAGCAGTCCTTGTTGTAATGCTCAATATGCAGTTGTAACCGATAGCTAAAATTCAAAAGCAAAGAATTTCAAGAACATGATATAATAAACTGAATGATAAAAACCCCTGTATATAGAACTTTAAATTTTTAAAAAATTAAATATAAAGTACAACTTTAAAATATTTTAATATATTACTACAAATTTAAGTTAAATAATTAAAAGAACTAGAAAGTAAATTCTGCTTCTTTGCAAACATTCTTAGCTTCTCTAAGAAAGAAAGAAAGGAAGTTTGCTTCTCTAAAACCTATATATTATTATTTACTGAACATCTTAGTACCAATACCTCTAGAGAAAAAGTCTAGCTGGACAATCTAAAATAATTTTTAAAAATAAGTAAAACAAAATTTAACACAATGGAAGGTTGCACTTTTTTTTTTTTTAAAGATTTTATTTATTTATTTGAGAGAGAGACAGTGAGAGAGAGCATGAATGAGGAGAAGGTCAGAGAGATAAGCAGACTCCCCATGGAGCTGGGGCCCCGATGCTGGACTCGATCCCGGGACTCCGGATCATAACCTGAGCCGAAGGCAGTCATCCAACCAACTGAGCCACCCACACATCCCGGAAGTTTGCACTTTTATTAGAATTTAGATCTCCCTTCTACTGGATTAGTTGAAACAGGTCACAGGAAGTTGTCAAAGATATGCAAAGAACAAAACCATTCAGTGTAAAAGCACTAATCTCGTGTGTGTTCAAGAGACAAAATGGACTGAAAAACCTTTCTTTGCAAAATGGTACAGTCTGTGGTTAGTCTAGGATTGCTAAAGTTTTTTTTTTTTTTTTATCAATTTTTCTTCATATTTCATGGTACAGCTTTTTTGGTTATCAAAAGCCACTGTGCAAGTTCATCTGACAAAGTATTTTTTTTTTTCTTTAGTGTTCTCTAACAAAGATACTTACAAAGATTGACTCTGGGTAATGCCAAAGAATGCCAGATAATTCTTAAATTTGTTACTAAGAGTCTACCTAAAAGCAAACAGACAAAAAAGTAGGTTACCTTAAGTAAGGACCCATTTTTGCAGTAGAAAGAGGTAGACATGAAACCTCTAGCTCAGGAAGAGCAGTAACCCCCACAGATGTTCTCAGACATTTATCACCTGAACATGTTTACTGCTCTTATCTATCCAGTGTAAGGCATATAATGCACAACTCAGAATCCCAGAGAAACAAAATCTGATAGTTACAGAAGGGATACATGTCTTCAATCCCAATAGCTTGGTTTGACTCAAATTAATAGAGTGAACTGTGTACTGGATTTTTGTCTTGGTGGAAGCTGTTCTGGAATTCTGGCAGGTCATATGTGCACAACTGAGAATGAGTATGGGATGGTATAATCACAAAGCCATTTGGTGAAATCACACTACTCAAAGGACTTTCATATATATACTAATCTCTTAACAGTTCTCATTTATATGAGCCACACTTATAAATACTTTTTTTTCTTTTTTTGCAATAAGCAAAAAATTTTTTGCTCATATGAAGTTATGGCCAAGCTGAAGTCTCCTTAAGGCCTTATGTTTTTCATTCCTAACCTCAGACTGATGTTCTTACACTGACATACAGAGTTAGATAAACTTCATTTCTCAAAGTGTGTCTTATGAAACAGTAGTACCTATAAATGCTCTAGAAAAAAAAAATCAAGTAAATCTGAGCATGGTAAACTATGTGTCTTACAGATTTATGATACAATCAACATACTAGCATAGCTTTGTGATAATCCTGAATAAAACTCACTTAACTTTGTTTAAGCAACATTTCTTCAACAAATTATAACCATAGAATTTTTTAAAAAAGATTTTATGTATTTATTTGATAGAAAGAGACAGACAATAAGAGAGGACATACAAGCAGGGGAGAGGGAGAAGCAGGCTTCCTGCTGAGCAGGGAGCCTGATGTGGGGCTGGAGCTCCATATGGGGCTCAATCCCAGGACCCTGGTATCATGACCTGAGTTGAAGCAGATGCTTAATGACTGATCCACCCAGGCGCCCCCCAGCGAATTCTTTTGATGAGTCGTCTATAGCCAGGTAATACTTCTTCCTCCCTGAAAATCCTGAGAATATCCAAAATCAGAGAAACTAAGCTTGTATGAACGCTAGGGTAAGATGGGATAAGGCTGTTACCAAAATAAAGGAAGGCATTCTCAAGAGAAACTGTGGAACATAGTGATTGACAAAAAGTAAATAACCCAGCATTTCAAGACTATAAGATTCACTCAAGATCATAGAAGAGTAGACAGACCCTCCATCTATCAGTTGGGGTCAATGGACAACAGATGGCACATTCAGATCAGAATAACTGAGGTTTATTTATAAAAGGACTTATAAATAAGTCACTTTTTAGAAAGGTTTAAGTGAGTGCTGCAAACCTCTTACCACCCCAGGCCCAGTGGGACAAGGATAGGGAACAGTTAAGCAAATGTGGAAGTCCTGCATGGCTAAATACCTTGAGAAGAAAGAACTGGGGGAATAAACATCCAGACCATACTTTCCTGCTCCCCTTTGATCTTCTGGCTTGGCTTTTCCAACCCAAAGCTAGAGTGCACAAGTAGCCCCTTGATGTGGTCTATACAGGTCATTTTCCCTGGGCAAGGGGGAAAGGGTGATGGGTGCTGGACCTGGAGGGACAAATGTAGGCCAGTGGCACAAGCAAGAAAGATTGTGGACAAACTATTCTGTTATTATAGATACATTGATTTATGTTTTCCTTATACCATTTCATGTAAGTAACATTATGTCTCCACAACTGGGCTATAAGCCTAGGATATCTTTTGATTCTTTTTGATATTCGTCTATTAGAAGATTCTAGGAAAAATTATGGAGTGGTAAATAAAGCCACTGACCAACTCTAATGACCTATTTTTCTGATCTTGGTACGTTTCCTATAAATCTCTAGCATTCTTAGGTTGCCTCTTTCTTGCTGAAAGGCCCCATCCTATTGCTACAAACCCAGTGTCCTAGGCATGGACTTGTCTCTCTCTGTGTTTTCAAACACCAAAATAAAATTGTCTCTGTTTTTCCTAATCTCAAACACTGAAATATGGCTGTTTCATTCCGTACAGCTTCAGTGCAAAGCTAATCTGATAATTTCGTGTCAGGATGCTTACAGTTGAAATGGATTAAAAGTGCTAATCTTTTGGGGTATTTATAGTTTTAACATGGGTCTCCTGACCTTAATGAATGCCTTAATTCAGCAATTTTCAAACTGCTGCAAAAGAAGGCTAAAATGCAAGACTCCCCTTCTTTTTTCTACCTTTTTATTTACCAGAAGCTCTATACCCACCTGTAACATTCCATTATCTGGGGAATGTGTCTGAGGCGAGTATACATACAGTTATCTTTATGAATAGGAAGATTTCAGGCACTCACTGTGATGGACACTTCTGGCCAGGGAGGTGTTTTGCCCTCTCTATTCCAAAGTGCTAGTATAAGATTCTGCACTCAATGAATACCCAATGAACTGAAAAATGTTCTATTACCCATAGTCTCTGTCTCGACTGACAGATGGACTGTCACATAAGAGTTCCTGCCGGTCTGTATGAGAACCACTAAATTTTCTCTTGGCTTCCTGAAGTTAATTTAGGTTTGTCAAGATCCAGGTACCTAGAGATTATTATTCCACCCTCGAAGGCTCAAAGGCACAAACTAAGACTTCTTGTTTGCTGCTAAACCTTGATACCTCACCCTCACCTGGGCCTGACACTAGGAATCATTTCATAAATGTGATCTAAGCATTCTTTTAAGGATGGACCCTTGCCATTGACAGGATCTTCCTGTTGCTGGTGGTGATGATAGGTGGTGCCCTTCACAGGGAAGAAAGGCCCACAACTAAGTGCTGCTCACATTCCACTCCAGAGCAGACCAGAGGAAAGACCCAGAGAGCAAGCGGCTGCTTAAAAGGCTGCAGTGAGCCCATTCTCCCAATAAAGTTTACTGTGTAGTCTCTAGGATTTACTGATCCTTCTCACCTGAAAGAGGTCTGCTCCTTTCCCCCTATTTACTCTTCTCTTCAATAAGAGGTTTATGACCCATCCTCCTAAATCCCCCTTTCTCTAAAAGACCTTTTCAGAGATACTAGACTGCCCACTCATCCCTATTTTTTTACACCCAAAACAACAGTAGTGATGCTTACAAGAACTGGTCACTGGATGCTAGTTTTATGTACAGCTGTTGTATGCAGCCTGGACTTTTCAAAGTTCTAGCCTTTGGGGAATTTGATTTGGGGGGACTCTAGAGTCCAACTCTGACTGCTCCTCAATGACATACACAGATGTCTAACAAGACTTTTCACTGCTTAACCTATACTAGACTTAACAGAACAGCACAGCACTAAATTTGCTCTCCACATGTCCATCTCCAGGTGTCACTCTCAAGGGATCGTGAATTACTCTTGGATTTCTTAAAAGGAAGCATGGCTCCAGATAGCACAGGTATGACCTACTTATGTTCCACGACCTCATATTCTTTTCGTGGGGAGGCAGATTCAAAAGTCAGAACTATCCCATGCCCCTTACAAACAGGGATCCTGGAGTTTTAACAGTTATGTTGGAGAAAGCTGTTATCAAAACTGGGACTAACTGAAGGACCAAACTTCTGAGGAAGAACCTGTATTCTCTGGCTTAAGTTTTTTTTGTGTTGTTTTTTTTTTTAAGATTTTATTTATTTATTTGACAGAGAGAGAGAGATCACAAGTAGGCAGAGAGGCAGTCAGAGAGAGGGGGAAGCAGGCTCCCCTGCCTCATGTGGAGCTTGATCCCATGACCATGGGATCGTGACCTGAGCCAAAGTTAGAGGCTTAACCCACTGAGCCACCCAGGCACCCCTGGCTAAAGGTTTAATACCCATCTTTCTCCTGTTTAAGTCTGAGAAAATTCTTATGTGGATTTAACTCTTTTACTGTCACAATTACATTTCTTTTATATCTTACTCTCCAGTGAATATGATTTAACATTTGGAAATCAAACCAGAAATATAAAACATACTAGGAAATATACTCACCTCTATCCCCATTATTTCCTTTGGTGTCTTCAATTGAATCTAAACAATCAATAAGGACTTCTCCAGGTCTTGTTTTCATTTGTCTAAAATAAATATCGAGGATTTAATAGCTACAACTATACCCACTTACAATCTAGTTAGGGAGAGAAGAGACATATGCATATAAAACAACCATCAGTATAAATGATACAGTACCAAACGCTCATGCATTTGAAAATACGGGCTTAAGAACTTTAAGAGTCTGGAGACCAGTGGAGCCTGGAGTAATCAGGGACATGTAGAAAAGCCAGAACTAGTAGAGGTAGGATTTGGAGAAATGAGAGAGAGAGGGAGGAGAGTGATTAAAGACCAGAAAAAAGAAATGATAGGAGAATGTGGAAAGATGGGCCTAGCTAGGGAAGAAGATCCATGTTAAGAGGTAGTGAGAAATACATGCCACTACCTCTGAATGCTTAGTCAGATAGGTATGGGCCTTATCCTGTGGACAATGGAAAACCCTCAGAGGTTTCTGAGTAGAGAAAAGGAGGTTAGGCAGTTATGGAAGGAGCAAGTTAAAGCATCATTAGGAATCGGTAAACAATTAGATACAGGGAATAAAAGGAAATAAAGGGGGAAGAATAGTTTGCTATCAGACAGAATGCATTCCAGAGTGTCCCCAAACAAACAAGAACCTAGCAGAATATGTGGTAGAAACCTCTACACACATTCTCCATACAGCTGACCCAATTACCTACTCAAAATACAGATATGATCATAATATAACTTTTCTGCCTAAGAGTCTTCCATGTCATCCTACTGCCTCAAAAATTATGTCCAAAATCCTCAGCTAAACATTTTATAATCTGGCTAATCCACCTGCTTGTTCCTCCATCCTCCACTTGCAGACTTTGCCTTCCAGCCAATGCCGTTTGTACTTCCAAAACTCTGCTCCCAGTGTTTTGTTTTCTTTTTTTCTGGAATACTCTCCTGTCTACCATGACAAGGCCCTGCCCAGTCTTCAGGGTTGAACACAAATATTATTTCTTCTTCAAGGCATTCTCCAGGCAAAATGAACCATTCTGTTCCTATGATACCCCAGCTTTTTGTTCATTTTTTTCAGGATGGGTATTTACCACATTTTAAAAAATAGTTATTTGTCTATGTGTATCTTCTGCACTAAAATGGACGGCAGGTAATCATTTTCTATTATTTTTGTATCTCTAGCTATCAGCATAGTACCTAGAACATAATAAGCATTTGATAAATGTTCAAGAAAATGGGAATGTTCATGAAATGGACCTTTGCTTGGATTAAGAAACCTCCGAGAATAATAGAAAAAGTCATAGAATGTGTGCAATCTGTAACCATTGTTTATAAATTCCCTTCCCTCACAACTTCTTAAAGGATCTAAGACCATGTTAGTATTAGATACCAAGCCACAACTAAGCCTGGGGAATTATTTCATTTTTCAAGGTTTTGGTCATGATAAGGAATCATAGAAGTGGCTAAGAAGCTTCATACCATTAACCCGAGAAGCCTCACAGTCTTCCAACAGTTAATTTCTCAATGGGCATTTTCTCCCTGGTCTTTGGGTAGGAAGGTTTTAAGTATTCTTTCTTTAAAGCATGACATTAAAAAACAAAAACAAAAAAACCAGGGTTTCTGTTGAGAGGTTCCAAAAAGTAGCTCCTTCCTCCCACTGGCTATATAAATGAATGACAAGATGGAAGCTTATCATGGAAACCAAGTTCTCGAGGTTAGCAATTATGGAAAATGCTTATTCCCACCTCCTTTGTTTTACAAAGAGACTCGAGCTTAAAATGGCGAAGCCGAAGGGTCTACAATATGTGTCGCTATTCCAGACCTAGTTTCAGAACCCTGGTCTCCTGAGTCCCTTCCAAACGTCCCCCATCACAGAAGTGGAGCACTCCCAAGCTCATTTGCGTGTTCTGAACGCCCAAGTCCTAGATGGTCCCGGACGTACTTGGGCTCAGTTTCCCGCTAGGTGCCCGGTACCCCCTTTCTCTGCCAGGAATTCTCTTTCCCCAGATCTCTGAAACGGTTTCATTGAGATGAGTTCCCACAATGGCCAGGCCAGTCTGGGGTCTCCCGGGGACCACAGGCTCAAACCTCCTCCCGCTCTCGCGAGGGCCGTGAGCTGTGGGAGCGCAGCCTCCTCCAGAAACAGCGCCGCGGCGCCCTCTATAGGTCCCAGGAGCGACTCACTGCGAGGAGACGTCGAAGCGGACATCCCGGTCCTCCCAAAGCGCGTCCAGCACCGACATGGTGACCGAGGCCCAACGCGGGCACTCTCCACAGCGGTGGAGGCCGAGTGGCGTCTCACTGGCTCCCGGGCAACGGACCGCCTCGGTCATGACGTCTACGGCGGGCGCCGAGATCCAAGCTTCCTCAGGTAGAGTGCGCGCTCTCCGCCCCCGCCCCGCCGCCGCGTCGCGTCCTTAAGCGGATTTGAGGCTCCAGGCGCTGTTGGGCTGCTCGGAGAAGCCAAAGTGGCCCCGGCCCAAAAGCGTGTGCTTGACCTCTGAGTGACTTTCCGGGCCTGCAAACATACATCCTTAAGGCATTCCACCCTCTTCCCCCATTTTGCTACAGTCAAGAAATTTAAACTTAAAACTCTTAATTCTTTACCTGGCCCCGCCAGATCTGGTCCTGCCCACCTGTCCGACCTCTTGCTAACCCAATCTTTCTGCGTACATTCCAGCGAGGCGGGGGGCGGGGGGGCTTTCTCTGCCAGGAATTCTCTTTCCCTAGATCTCTGCATGGCCTGGCCTCTGTCACTTAAGTCTCAGCTCAGATGTCGACAGAGGCGGTCCCTGATCTTTCTTTCACCCCTACATACGTTGAGCACCCGGAGGGCAGGACTTGATCTATCTAGTTTGCTTTGAACAGTAGCTGGCGCAGAGTAGGCACTGGAAAACTTTTCGAATGAATTAAAATGCCTTCCTTCCCTCAACTTATGATAATTCTTTAAAGTAGTGGTTTTTAAAGTGTGATCTGGGGATCTCTGGAGTTCCTTAAGATCCTTTCAGGGCACCTAGAAGGTCAAACTATATGCACAATAATATGAAGACATTCTTTGCCTTTGTAACTTATTTATTCATTGAATGTGCAGTGACGTTTTCCAGAAGCCATATGATGTGTAATTGTATGTGGAAGCAGATGTTAGAGTCCAGGTGTCTTCCATTAGCCAGACATGAAGAAGACTTGCAAAAATGTAAGACAGTGCTACTCTTCTCACATTTTTTTGGGGGGGGGGGTAATATAATTTTTAAAAATGTTATCTACTTTGGGCACTTGGGTGGCTCTGTGGTTGGGGTGTCTGCCTTCTGCTCCAGTCGTGGTCCCAGAATCGTGGGATCGAGTCCTGCATCAGGCTCCCTGCTCAACAGGGAGTCTCCTTCTCTTCCCTTATGCACATTCTGTCTCTCTCCTCTCTCTCTGAAGTAAGTAAATAAAATCTTTAAAAGATGTTATGTATGCTAACATATAATGAATTTACTACTCTTTACTGAATTTACTACTCTTTAATGAATCAGTAAATGACGTTTTAAATGTCTTACTAAAAGTCAATACATATAACCCATATAAACATGTTATTTCAGGTCCTCAGTAATTTTTTTTTAATCTCAATAATGTTTATAAGGATATAAAGGGATCCTGAAGTCATAGGTTTGATAACTGCAGTTTTAAATTATCTAGAGCACGTCTGTGGTAGGCTATGTGCCAAATACTAGAAATGTGAAAGACCACAGGAGTTTTTCTCAGGTTGAAGAAAATAATGAAGACAAAGGAACATACTTAAGTGACCCCCAGTGAGTCAGGCCCTTGTATAATCCTCTCGCTGTGGGTGTGGGCAGAACCTGTGACTTGCTTCTAGCCAATAGACTATGGCAAAAGTGATGGGATGTGAAAGTGGTGGGATATCATTTCCATGATTATGTTGTTATGTAAGACTTGATCTTAGCTGACTGCAGCAAGACTCTCCTGCTTGCCTTGAAGAAATCAGTTGCTATGATACGGCCTTTAGGGCCAGTAGACTCAGTTATATAAGCGCAAGGAATGGGAATTTGCCTGCAACCTGAATGAGGTTGGAAGCAGATCTTTCTCCAGTAAAACTTCTGATAAGCCCTTTGCTCCAGGAGTATTTAGCTTGCAGCCTGGCTTGACCATAAGCAGAAAACCTAGAAAAACCATGCTTGTAGTTCTGATCTACAGAACAGGGAGATAATACATGTCTGTTGTTTTAAGCTGCTGAATTGGTGGTAATTTGATATACGCAACAACAGAGAACTAAGACAGGTTGTAGAATCAAGGGTGGTGCTACTCAAACAAAGACCCAGCAAAACTCCGGTAGGAAGCAGGCTGATAAAATTTCAAACCTGCACGTACGTTTTACCTTTCATGAAAAGGCAAGGATGGAAGTTTCGAACTGAAATATCTCTAACTGTTCTTCTGTGCCTAGCCCACCATTGTGTGATGGAAGTGTGGGGGACAGACAACTGGTCTCTTTAGTTTCCCAAGTCTGTCAAGAGGAATTGTGCTTCGAGGAACTCTACTTAATGGTTTATAACCCGGAATATTATTTGCACCACATATAGATGATTTAGATGATGAGATCATGGTTTTTGAGCTGCCAGTGTAATGGGAGGCGAAGGGAACCTTGGGAGGGAGCGAATTGTATTTTTTTCCTTTGGGTGGAGCATGAATTGTTGAGTGCCAAAGGGCAGGCTATGGAGACAGAATTCTGAATGACCCCTAAGATTCTTGTTCTCCTTACGTGCATACGTTATCTAGTCACTTTCCTTTGAGCATGGAAGAATCTATGACTATTAATAGGATATCAGCCCTGTCATGAAATTATGCTATGTGGCAAAAATGAGATTTTGCAGATGTGATTAATGTCCTTCAAATTCATCAAAAAGGGAGGCTATCTGTAGTGGGCCTGACCTTATCAGGTGAACCCTTAAATTTTTTTTTTGCAGGATTTGTTGAAATAGTAGCCAAGTTATGAGAAAGCCACATGGCTAGGAACTGAGAGCAGCCTCTAGGAGCTGAGAGAGCCAGCAAGAAAACAAACTGCAGCCATCTAATTATAAGGAACCTAATTCTGCCAACCCAAATGAGCCTGGAAGAGAAGCCCAAGCCTCAGATAGGATCACGTCTTGCTGACACCTTGATTTCAGGTGAGACCCTAAGCAATGAACTCAGCCCAGACTCCTGACCCATGGAAACTGTGAGACAATAAATTTGTGTTGTTTTAGATTTTGAAGATTGTGAAAATTTGTTGTGAAGCAATATTGAATTAGTACACTGAAATCACAGTAAGATTTTTGTAATGAAGACTGAAATGAAGACCTACTTTTCACTGTGCTTATAACTGGAACTTCATACATTCTGTTCCCCAGACTTTATTGCCTTTGCAAGGAAAGTTTGTGTGTGTATGTGTTTAAACATTTATTGTTGCCTTAAAATTTTTGAATAAATTTTACTGAAGTATGATTTACATAGAAAAATGCATCTGTGGGGTGCCTGGGTGGCTTGGTCAGTTAAGCATCTGCCTTTGGCTCAGGTCATGATCCCAGGGTTTTAGGATCAAGCCCCACATGGAGCTCCCTGCTCAGCGGGGAGCCTGCTTCCCCAACTCTTCCGCTTCCCTCTAAACCTGTTTGTTTCCTGGAGTCCATTGTCTCTCATGGTTCCTCTCCCCTTCTGATTTCGCCCCCTTCATTTTTCCCTTACTTCTCCTAATGTCCTCCAGGCTATTCCTTATGTTCCATAAATAAGTAAAACTATATGATAATTGACTTTCTCTACTTAACTTATTATTTCTCTTAGCATAATCTCCTCCAGTTCCATCCATGCTGATGCAAAAGTTGGGTATTCATTATTTCTTATGGCTGAGTAGTATTTCATTGTATATGTGGATCATATTTTCTTTATCCATTCATCTGTTGAAGGGCCTTTCAGCTCTTTCCACAGTTTGGCTATTGTGAACATTGCTGCCATGAACACTGTGGGTGTGTGTGGCCCTTCTTTTCACTACATCTGTATCTTTGGGGTAAATACCCAGTAGTGCAATTGCTGAGTCATAGGGTAGCTCTATTTTTAACTTTTTGAGGAACCTCCACACTATTTTCCAAAGTGGCTGTACCAACTTGCATTCCCACCTACAGAGTTAAGAGGGTTCCCCTTGCTACACAAACTCTCCAACATTTGTTGTTTCTTGTCTTGTCAATTTTTGCCATTTTGACTGGTATAAGGTAGTATCTCAATGTGGTTTTGAGTTGAATTTCCTTGATGGCTAATGATGATGAACCTTTTTTTCATGTGTCTGTTCGCCATTTGTATGTCTTCTTTGGAGAAGTCTGTTCATGTCTTCCACCCATTTTTTGACTTGTTTTTTGGGTGTTGAGTTTGAGAAATTCTTTATATATCTTGGATATCAGCCCTATGTCTGTAGTATCATTTGAAAATATCTTTTCCCATTCCGTGGGACTTCATTTTGTTGACTGTTTCCTTTGCTGTGTAGAAGCTTTTTATTGTGATGATGTCCCAAAAGTTCATTGTTGCTTTTGTTTCCATTGCCTTTGGAAACTTGTCTTGAAAGAAGTTGCTGTGGCCAGTGTTGAAGAGGTTACTGCCTATGTTATTCTCTAAGACTTTGATGGATTCCTGTCTCACATTGAGGTATTTCATTCACTTTTGTCTTATCTTTGTGTATGGTGTAGGAGAATAGTTGAGTTTCATTCTTCTGCATATAGCTGTCCAGTTTTCCCAGCGCCATTTATTGAAGAGACTGTCTTTTCTTTATTGGATATTTTTTTTCTGCTTTGTTGAAGATTATTTGACCATAGAGTTGAAGGTCCATATCTGGGCTCTCTGTTCTGTTCCATTGATCTATGTGTCTGTTTTTGTACCAATACCAAACTGTCTTGGTGATCACAGCTTTGTAATATAGCTCAAAATCAGACAACGTGATGCCCCCAGCTTTGTTTTTCTTTTTCAACATTTCCTTGGTGATTTGGGGTCTTTTCTCATTCTGTACAAATTTTAGGATTGTTTGTTCCAGCACTTTGAAAAATGCTTGGTATTTTGATCAAGAGGGCATTGAAAGTATTGATTGCTCTGGGAAGCATAGACATTTTAATGATGTTTATTTTTCCA